TTATTATTATTATTATTATTATTATTATTATTATTATTATTATTATTATTATTATTATTATTATTATTATTATTGTATATCATTCATATGTTCATTTTTCTACACTTAAACCCCATTTTTTCGAAGAATGAAACTTTTTATCCGAAAAAATGCATAAAAAATGTTACAAACAGAACCTCATGAAAATTCAATCTTATTATAGGTATAAACATATAGGTCAAAAAATGTAAAAACACCAAAATACCTAAAATTAATAAAACAACCAAAAATATTATAAATCTTGTATTCGGTTAAATAAGTCGGTTTCATATAAAGAAATTTTCGATACTGATTGTACTTATGAAGAATGGACCGAATATTGCAATATGCCACAAGTTCGTGCAGGCGAAACTCCGGGTGAATGGAAGGAACGAATTTGGACACGCTTAATATATTTTCAGGATAACAATCTTATGCCAAGTCAGAGCAAAAAATATCTTGAGGCTAGAACATTGATACGCTCCTGAAATCGGTATAGCAATATGTTATTCATGTGATCAATTGGTATATACTGGCTGAAGAACCAAAAATATCGGAAATTACAATCATATAGGAATGGCAAGTAGTTGTACTGGGATTAAATATTGTTGCTTAAATTATGAAAATTATACAAAAACCCAGGTCTGCACGTAATTACGAAGAAGATTATGCATTTCATCGTTATACACTGTGGAAATGTAATGCTGTCAAAAAGAACAAATGTGCTAGAGAAGTTGGAAAAAGGATTTGAGCTGTAAATATCATAAAAGAAAAATTGATTGAATTTATGTACCGTCCCGATGGTTTAACAATTAGCTGAACATTATAAACTCTTACAGACCGTTTGAGAAGAAATGCATCAGACTAACAATGCATAACTATACAATATCTTTTATTTTTTTCCGGAATATATCTTTCATAGTTTTCATGAAAAATTCCGATTTTTATACGTGGTACTGTATATTATGTCAGCGAGATAATATACAAACAAAATTTAATCCAAAATATTTAGATTTAATTGATAAATTACCTCCCTCGCTGGTGGATGAAGCTTGGATACGTCTTACTTCCAGAAAGCAAAATCCAATGACAGAAGATAAAGTCAGTAGCGTTAACCCTGATGTTGAGTCATTTTTAGCAGAGCTAGTAAGGCTAAAGCATGAAGTTGATAGATATCGAAAAAAGATAAAATATCAGCGACGAAGTTGACCACCATTAAAAAATTTATTACACATAGATATGAATAATAGGGAAAGTCAAACTCATAATAACAATACTTGTACATGTATCTCTGAGGGAGATATTAGTCTTGCTAGCCCGCTAATTTCCGGGTTAAGAAAGAAGTTGGAGTTTTATATCGACAATTACTTAAATATAATCGAGATATATTTGGAGAATTCATGCTGAAATTGGATAGGGAATACAAAGAGCGTATTAAAGAAAATAATCAATTACGTTGTGAAATCGAAGAAATAAGGTTGCAACTACAAGAAACGGAATATAAATTGTTTAAACTCAGTGAAACCAGCTCTGCTAAAAATTATCGATCACAATGTAGCCAACTTCCATAATTATTATATAATATTTCTGAACTTAGCTACACCTTTTGATTACTACCATATCACGCAATCAATGACTTAATCTCTTTTTTCAAATCTAGAGGATCCATCCAACCGACTCTGATGGACGTGGGATCAGAAATTGGCACAGTAGTATCGAATACAATGAATTCGCCATTCTGCAAATAATTATTAACAAGTTTTGTAATCGAGGATGTGCAAGTGAGCAGGAGAGAACACAAAATCTTAACCCACGCAATTTGCTGACTACCAATTAAAATCGTGAATTCGATAACATAGAAATATATAAATATTAATATGGGTTTGATTCATTTTGTCGACAATTGCCTCACCAACAATCATTTCACTAACGAATTTAAGAAGTTGGAAGCAACCACGCGACAAACCATCGAAACAGTCTAATAAATTAAAAATTGTACTACTCGAAAATGTATTTAAAGGGTTGGTTTTCAACTTGGTTGAAGAATAACTCTCTTCCTAACTCTTCTCTTG